TGATTTCATCAATCCTGCCTATCTAATGAAACCTCCATAAAACCCTCCCAAATGACGGCTTCAGAGAGCTTCCGGGATGGTGAACACACTGGGTGCTGGGAGGGTGATGCATCTGCAGAGGGTGGGGAAGCCCAGGCCCCTTTTCCCCACATCTTGTCCCATGCAACCCTTCTATCCAGATGTTTCTGAGTTGTAGTCTTTATAATAAACTAGTAACAGTAACTGAATTGTTTTTCCCAAGCTCTGTGAACTGTTCTAGCAAATTATCAAACCCAAGGAGGGGTTGTGCGACACCCCAATGTACCGTCGGTTCATCAGAAGTACAGGTGGCAGCCCGGGACTGCGACTGGTGTCTGAAGTAGGGGGCAGCCTGGGACTGAGTCCTGACCCTGTGAGGTCTGTGCTAACTCCAGGGAGATAGTGTCAGAATGGAACTGAACTGCAGGACACCTAGCTGGTACCTGCAGAGAATTAGAGGACTGCTTGGTGTGGGGAAAAAAACACACATCCGGTGTTAGAAGTGTTGTGAGTAAAAAAACAGATAAGAGTGAAGTGTTCTGGTGTTGTAAAAACAGCACTTCATACTTGGCTCTTGACAATTTTTGCCAGATTGCCTTTTTTTCCAAAGTCAGAAATCTCTTTTATGAAAAATTTCTGGATTTTAAATGTTGGTTAAAAAAAGAAAAAGAAAAGTTTCTAAACATGCTACAGGACAAATAAAACCTACTCCTTATCAATTGCCAGTTTGAGACTTCTGGTCTCAAGAACTCTCCAAGCTTTCTCACATAATTAATTAAGTTCCTGAAAAAGACTGAGTCCTGGTACATTCAAGGTTATCCTCCTTGTACAAAGCACAGCCTGCTGTGCTATTCGGTAGAGTACAAACATGGCCATAAACTCTCCCTCTCCCTGTACCCATGACCCTTTGCAATGTAGCTTTGAGTGCCCCTCACTGACTCCAAGCTTGGCCACGTGACTTGCTTTAGCCAAGGAGAAGTGAGCAAATGTGACACAAGCAGAGGCTTGAACGATGCCTGTGTGTTGAAGTTTATCCTTTCTTGCTGTTCACTGAAACCCTGCCACCATGTGGTCAACTTCAGACTTGCTGGAGGATAAGAGGCTACACGAATAGAGGCCCCAGTTGTCCCAGGCAAGGCCATCATAAACCAGCCATCCCAGCATATCTGCCAACTGACTAGACCCATGAACAACACTGAGACCAGCAAAGCCAGCCAAGATGAAAAGACCTCCCAGCCGATTCACAGAATTACAAGCTAAATGAATCACTGCTAGTGTGACTGACTCAGTTTTAAGGCAAGTGGTTACAGCAAAAGATAACTGATACATGCTACAGTGTATCATATATCAGTTTTACGCCTATCAAAAATACCATTATAGGGGCTTCCCTGGTGGCAAAGTGGTTAAGAATCCGCCTGCCAATGCTGGGGACACGGGTTTGAGCCCTGGTCTGAGAAGGTCCCACATGCCGCGGAGCAACTAAGCCCGTGTGCCACAGCTACCGAGCCTGAGCTCTAGAGCCCGTGAGCCACAACTACTGAGCCTGCATGCCACAACTGCTGAAGCCCACGTGCTCTAGAGCTCATCCTCCACAGCAAGAGAAGCCACCGCAACAAGCAGCCCGCGCACCACAACAAAGAGTAGCTCCCGGGCTTCCCTGGTGGCGCAGTGGTTGAGAGTCCGCCTGCCGATGCAGGGGAC